ATTGTTGGTTGAATCAGTCGTGCTTTTGTTAAGGTATGCAGCACATCCGCTATGCTACAAGTCAGCGCCGACTTGCAGCATCGTGGATATGCTGCACATCTTAACATGTACGACGACACAAAACAACTTATTATGCCATCGTGAACTTCATAAGCTTGGTGCAGCTAGATCTATCTCCAGCCTGGAGCAAGCGGTTGACATCACAGGAGACTTAGACAGCCTTAGTCCCAGCGTTTCGAGTTCCACAAAAACTACTTTGTAACGATGGAGTATCGCACAACGGACCTCGGGTCATGGCGACAACGGCGAATGTCCCCGCCTCACTGTCAAAGCAAGGCAACAACATCAAATTTTCTCCGCTGCGTGTTCCCGCGAAAAAGAGGGAGGCCTTCCTTGAGTATCGACGACGTGTACCGTTGTGTGGACGACATGTATCGCGATGATGCTTCCACGGGTATTGAAAACAAGATCGCCAACGCGCACGTGAGTATAACCAAGAAATATCCTTGCTCTATGCTAGTGCAATTGAAACCGAGAAGGGGAGACAATTCAACCTTGAAGTTCCTAGCCATTTAACTCATGGTGAACTTGTCCTCGTCTATCCTTTTGCATTCTACAGTTCTTGTGGACAAAAAACGACTTTTCCCAGCGAAGATTGCCTCAGACAAACCCGAGCCCTTCCTTGCAAGGAACAGGAGCACTGGCGAACATTTCTCTGTCTCTAGCTTTTCAACGAGCTGATCGGTGTCAAGAATGATAGAAAGGCATAGCGACGTAGCGAGACGGTGCAGCTTTGGGGGGTGTCAACCAAAACCCGGTCACACAACATCTTTCGGAGATGAGGGCACAAGCGTGGAGAAGGTGCCAATCGCTTCCCATCCACTGCTTCCCTGTCCGTGCGATGGTTCTTGCTCGCAATCGTAGGAAAGCGCCAAGGATCTCCAAGCTCTACTCAACGCCTGGAACATGGAGTCGTTCAACCACACACAGACCAGACAGGTGCGATACACAATCAACGTAAGCTCATGTACACCCGTCGCTTTGATCGCATTGGGAGTGGCCCTGAACGACGTCTTCGCTACAACAATTCTGCATTTCAACATAGAACAACTCGGGAGTGGAATAAGAAAAGATTGACACGTTAAAACACCATGCTCCGCGAACCCTCACTGCTGCTGCCAGCGAAGGCTCTTAACGTCATCCATCGGCTGGAAATGAGACGCCGCAAGGGAGTAGAGGGCCTACGGAAGGAGCAAGACCGGCAGGTGCGGTTCCCACAACCTTGCGATGCCGCCAGCCATGTGGACGTTTCTGCTCTACATGCAAAAGGGCAGCCCACTTGCTGCAACCGTTCGACCGTTGCTATTCGACCACGTCTGCACAATACTTGACAGCGCCACGTAGTGCTTTCGTATGTCGCAGCGGCAAGACAACGATGGGGGAGGGCACCTCTTTGGGCGCACACCGAGAAAAAATGTCTATAATAGCCCTCTACAGAAGCTGAGATGTGGTAGCCGCGACGGTGTTATCCCGCTCCCGTTGAACACCAGCTTGCCCACCAGCGAAGTAGTTCGTGGCTGTCCGGAGACCCTCATCAGCCCTTTGCTACGTTGAGACCTTTCCCGTTGCCAGTTAGCTGCACTGACGTGATAATGGTCCATTGAGCATCATGCTGAAGGCCTTGAGCACTAGTTTGTCTCAGTACACGTGGTGGGTGTCCCGATCCTACGAGGGCAAAAATTGCTTCCGACGGAATCTCCACAAGCAATTCTGTATTGATTCTGTCTGGAACTGGGTACTTTGGCCTGCAGAAAGAAGACTTCATTACGGAGAGCGTTCTGCGGTTGATACAAGGATCGGGTGCACCTGATGGAGATCGACATGAAAGCAGTGGCGTTGGATGCAGTGCAAGTGCGGACGAGAGAGGGAGTGGAGAGAATCGTCTCAGCGGCGGAGCTTGCAACCCACTCGTTTGGCAGGCTAGCAATGCCGGATTGGTAGATAAGAAGGTGCTCGGGGAATCGTAGACCAGTCACCATCGTTCCCGTTTCCCACATTTTCTCCATCATGACCGACTTTAAACTCTACAGCGATGTTTTCCTACGTGTTTCTATTATAGTCTCCATATCCTGGGCAGAATCGACCTACGTCCGTGGGGACAACAACGCCAATGAGATTCTGACGGCAATGGTAGAGGTGGTAGCTCTGCAACACATCGCCACTTCTGCGATGGGTGGTGATCGTTTGGCTACCCCGAGCTACGCATAGGCTGTACCTCGCCTGGCGGCAAAATTTTTGTTTGGTTCACAGCAGTGCTAAGGGGAAAAGGTCTTTTTGGGCTTTCTTGGAGTCAGTCAAGCTGACCACTTGTTGACGAAAAGCACCGGTGGGAACCAATTGCGCTCTCCACGTACCAGCCGCTAATTGAAGCCGACGGCGGGCTCCCCTTGTTTCGCTGGCAGGTGGCGAAATTAAGAGTGCAATCCATCAGCTACCCGGTGACTCTGATCGCCTCAAGGAAGCATTCCGCCACCCACGGCTACGGGTGAGACCTGAAGAATGTAATAGGGGACGATGGTGATCGAAAATGGCATACGAAACCACGGCCGAAATGATGCTTGCGTTGGCGACGCACGACAATTACCCCCCTCGATCCTCTGCCCGGCAATTTCACATTTCGCAAGCAACTGAAGAACCATCACGTTTATCCTCTTCCTCTTGGGTCTATTTCGCGGTGATTGCACCCGCGTGTGGTTTCAACAATTGTGCCATCAGTTGTACCCAGGATGACCCTTGGGGAGTCTCCCAAGGGCTGGCAGGCAGGGAGGCGATTTCTTGTCGACGAGGACTTGCCAATCGTCCCAGCGCGAACGAAGAGCTTCCGGTCACAGTGGTGGTCATGCCTAAGGTTTGGGGGACCGACAGAAGTACTATCGTTTTTTCCTCGGCTGCCCTGGTGTCGCGACTATTGCGCGACACATAAAAGGATCTAGAGCAATGTGTGCATACCACGCGATGCGGGAATCTAGAGAAGGCACCGATGTCGGTCACTGATCTAGAGAGAGTTCTCGAGAGGTCTATTTGCGTCGTAGGCGTGCCCAGCAATTCTTGAGATCCTAGCATTCTCTTGGAGCACCGGAAACAACGGAAAAAGGACATTTCTGCGATCGGAGAAGCTACGTGAGTCCGCACGATTGCGCGTGGATGCCGCCGCTACTTCGACGAAGAAATGAGCAGGCGTGTTTCGGCTCACATCGTGAGTCGTGCGTACCATGCTGCTGCTCGCGATCTCTAAAATCAAACGTATGTGGCTAGAGTGATGAAAAAGGCCGGCCTGCTTTCCCAAGAGCCGTGACATGTTCATATTCTTACGGCGTCGCGTGGCATTCGGGTACAGGTAGAGACGGGCTATTCGGCAAGAGAAAAGCTGTGGAGAGCTTTCCTAGCCCACAGGCAGCTGGCCCTTGGCAGGTAAGACCAGAACCTATTGCGAAATTGTCATCGACCGAACCTGAACCACGGCGCAGATTCTGGCCAAGAGGAAAATGCGGCACTCCATCGAGATCACTTTCTTCTTCAAGAGGATGATGTCAATCTTGAGCGCAACTTCAGGGCCTCGGATACAACAACAAACCGAACGCTGAGCGAACCCACAAACCAAATGAATAACCCCGAAGGTCCTTCAACCATGAGTGAACGCGTCGGCGGTGAATCAACACGAAATGAGTGTGGCTTGCTTCGGCCTGTTCGTTTTTTTGTCTCTCCGTCGTTTTTGCTGGTGGTCCCGGCAGTAGTGTGATGCGCTCCTTCGGCGTTGCTGATCGCGATCCGAAGGAGACACTCTTCTACTTCGAGTATCTTAGGGCCAGGTGAGACACATCGTGCATCATTGGTACCGCCACCCTTCGTGCGAACTCCAAGCAAGCAAGCGAAATCTCCCCAATTGAAACAACAACCGTCGTGGGGCGCGCCTTTTCAAACGGTTCCGGGTAAGCGATGCTTTTGCGGATCATCTGGCAGCCAGCCTGGACCACAAGCATACTTGGTGGGCAGCTCGATACCGCCGACGTGTAAGCGGACGCGAAGCTCACCCGTTCCTCGGACGAAGGGCAGCAAGTTTATCATACCAAGATGATCGTGAAAAGAGCTCTCCAACCCGCCGATAGTTCGAGCTACAGACTACGGCGGGCCGAGAACAATCTCTCCCCACAATTCTGTTGTTCGCAGAGACACACGCATAGCATCAAGTATCCGTGTTGCTCGTGCGACAAACCTCGATCCCGCTGCGTGGTGTTTTTACCCAAAAAAAGAACTGCAAAAAAGTGGCGTGCGTCCCAGATGAAGACCGAGGTGGCATGCTAGGTCGAGGTCGATTCCAAGACACGTTGTTGGGGATTTTGAGGGGGAACAGGTCGGCACTTGCAACAACGAGCCGTCTCGAGAGCCATAGTTATTTGGACTTTATTCGCGCTCGAAACTAAACCCCTCACAACGCCACACCATTCAAACACGCAGGCCAGCTTCGGTCTTGCTTTCGCGAAGGTGTTTGCACGAAGGAGAGCTGCTCTTCCGTCATTGGGCTAGGTGAAGCATTGGCTCGTTGGTGTACTATTGTGCACAAGCAAGCAGCGAGTTTGCGGCCCAGCGTCCAGCGTGTCGATCGGAAAAGTACGAAATATGCTCACGACCGTTGTAGCCCCGTGAATATATTCCAATACAGCGCAGCGGTCGTCCGGACTCATGTTGAAGGTCTGGATGAGGGGCACTGAATGATTATACTGTCCTTCACCAGAGGTTCTTGTTTTGAAAACCTCACCGAATTATATTGTCGCCGCATGCCGGACAATCACCGGAATTGGCAAGTGTACGGCTGGCAGGATGTCCTTTCATAGCCGTCGACCCCCACCAGCTCCAAAAGCTGGATTTTCGCCCGAATAAATCTATGCCCGCTTCGACTTGTATGTGCACCTGGCCCTGACTATTTCCAGAGGTGCTCTTGCATGCGTGGCGCAGTTGTCGGAGCAGAGTACGTTTACGTTGGAGAGGCGGATATCCACGGCCAACCTCATGATAGGCGAACAGGTACGTGGTGTGCAGCGTGCAGTCACGGCCGGGGCTCGTTTCGAGGGCCGACTTTCATGCTCACGACTGCATTCACCCAATCGGCACCACAGGCCACGTGGGTCGCTTTCCGACGGTACGGTGGGCGAAGACCCCGGCATGATAAGTGAAATCTATGCAGCACAAGATCTGACGTTAGTTGCATCAGGGTATGCAGTGCGGAACCAACGTGAAAACACCGCAGAATCTCGGTGCGTGCAGTTACGTAGTTATCAGGATGCATTTCTTCAACTCTTTGATGGCGGCGGGCACTGCAACTTTCCGGGTCCAAACCTGTCAGCCCCTAAATACATGCATGTGCTGTCAGCGGCTGGTATGGCGTTGTGATCACGACATTACTTGTCGGTACCACAGCAGTAGGCGGCCTTGCACCCCAAGTGCACCGCTGGAGACCTGGTTGGAGAGTATCGCCTCGGATTGTAGCAGTTCTCGGGTCAGTAGCCTCACTAAAAAACAATTGTCAGCAGCCTGTGCTGACCTGCTCTTCCTACCCGACTCATTGCGGAATACCACTAACTAAGGGATGCGTGCTGCGCTTGGGTGGCATTCGTTGGGGCCCCGAGATCCACGGAGTGGGACAAGCGACGGAGACCGCGCTGCGGCAGAGAGATACCGATCTTTGCCTCGGGCTCGCAGAAACGCTCGAGGTGAGCAGTTTCCTGGTCTTAATCATTACTGGTACTTCCGACGGGAAGTCCCACGGGCATCCCACAGGCGCGTCTCATGGGGGTGTGGGAAAGCCCATGGGGTGCATGGAACGGCTGATCGAACTTCCCACACGGACAGCTCATGGGACGAGTGTGATGTGTGACTAGGACGTCCCTGGTGTGTCTCACGCGTCGCATGAGCACGCACCCCATGGGCGTGCCACATGAGACCGGCATCCCAGCTGCCCGCCCCCCGCCCGTGGGCAGGCGCTGCCCATAGGACGCCCATGGGACGCTGCCGGGTTGTTGTAACTGTAGCCCAAAACGTGAGAAAACACTGGTAGCCCCTGGCGTTTATCCATGCGACCTGGGAAACGTGGGATGGCCCATAAGGCGCGTTGGACGGCCCACGGGACGGCCGTGGGACACCCCACTGTGTGACCCACGGGACGTCCCGTGAGACGGTTGCATTGGACATCCCTCAGGTCCCATCAGTCGTTTAGAGTTTAGAGCGCCACCTATACCCCGCCACAAATACATGTACCTGGGCGGTTGATTGGAAATTTCTGGAAAACGTTCGGTGCGTGGGCCATGGATATTGTTGTTCGGCCGTCCTTGAAGTTATAAATGTCTCACGTAGGCGTAGTGAGTGTTCGTCAAGGTGGCGAAAATTCTCAAGGGTGCATAGCATACGCAGCAATCATCCTCTGTTTGACTATACGCACCAAACGTGCAATATCTCACATGTGGTAGGGACTTCTGGGGCTTGGACGCTCCAAAGACGATGAGACCGGGGCGGAGGGCAACAATCCGGCAGACTCCAAGGAACTGGGATCGAACGCACAGGACAAGATGTCGCTGATGCTCGTCAACGTTTTGTCGTGGCTGCGTCTTCCGGCAGGGTCCAGGTAAGGCGTTTGCCGACCTAAAACACTGGCAGCGGGTGTATCATGGGGTGGAAATCCACAGATCGGTACTTCAAGCAAAACACGTGGTAGATGTTAGCCTAAAACTGCCGTGCGTGACGCAGACATCCCAATAGTGCCGTGCTTTTCTTCGCGCTTGACTTCCGATTGTGTGCCACAGCGTTCATCGGATAGCGTACACCATGGCCAGGCCCCACCTAAACCGACGAAAGGAACACTTGAGGTTGATCAACTCAAGGCCTGCATGATAACCTGAGTGTCCTTCAATAATAACAGCCCGGGGGTAGCCCCGGCCTCATCTGAAGCCCTTTCCTTTTTTTGGCCAGGGAAGGTATATCTATCTCCCTATCATGTGGGGGTCGAGGATGATGGTATATTGTTGTTCGCGGTGGTGATGAAGAAGTTGAACAAAGGAAAGAGGCAACATTTTCCTCCTTCTTGACTTGGCGTTGGCATGGGTAGCGAGTCGAAAAAACGACAGGTGGCCGTCGGCCGTGACTATGGTAGCCATTGGCATCAGATGAGGATCGGCTAGGCTACGCTTTGCCAGGTAGACGGGAAAGCGTGAACCACAGTTAGGTAGGTACGGGAGAGAATGACCGAGGGCAGCCCCGATGGGTTATTAGTGTGAAGATAGATGCGGTGGAATTTCTTTGTGATGGCGACGAATACCGCAACCAAACGGCAAACCGCAAAAGAAACCAGAAACCAGGAAGGGCCAGGCGCCAAGATGAGTCATACATTGACACGCGCAAGGGCAAAGTGGACCATGGTCCGCTGAGTCAAACACGCGGGAAAAATGAAGTCGACTTTGAAGTCGACATGAAAGCGGTAAATAAAGGCAGTCCGATCAGACAAGAAAATGAAACCTCGTGCAGCACTACACATGTACGTACCCGGTGCTAGTGCTAAAATATGTCGAGGTCGGGCAATCATAAAACGAACACAAGTCCCACTGGATAAAATGCAGAAACGCCTCTAAAAAGAAGTGCACAGATGAAACACCTCCATAACCAGTACGCAGACCACTCATAGGCACTCAAGGGGAAATTGGCATGCCATGCAGTTCGACGAGTGAAATACACGCCGGAAATAATGCAGTCCAACCAGTCAACAAAATTAGGCGAGGACAAATAAGGCGGGAAAGCGTCTGCCTAACAAATGGATCCTCGTGTAGTCGAGCGCTACGAAACGTTCACCAGGTACTTCTACTGCAGTCAATCAAGGATGACGGGGAAAATACACGCGGGAATATGAAGTCGAAATAAACGTGGAAAATACATACATGCAGTGCAACCAGCCAGGAGAAAACCTCGTGTAGTACTGAGTGTCTTTCAATAACGACCGAATGCCCCGCCGCAAATAAACAGGGAAGGTATCTCTCTGAAAGGACTTCTAGGACACCAGTACTTCGCCCCGCTTCGGCACACGGACATTGAAAGCGAGATCCCGAGCGCATGGAGAACCTTCATGGATCAAGGGAAAGAAGTTTAGCTACAAGTGGCGATACTCCAGTTGGGAAAGTTGTAACCAATCGGTATGAGGGTCAAACGAGCTGGGAAACAGGGAACGGCGCTGCTGCTAAGTTGTGTTCATATTGCAGAATCGCTATTCGTACACTGTTGGCGTCGAGGGTGTGCGTTGCAACGCTCCCGCTGGCTCCTTGCCGAAACATCCACTCTTGAAATCGCAGGAGGCGGAAATGGGTTCAGGGGTCCTTCAACACCATGAGGAATGCCGCATCAAGTAGGAAACCACCGAATACTTCGCACAAAGCGAGCGAATCAAAAATCCAACCCAGGAGCTATATAGTCGACAGGTGAGGAGGACCCTGATATATCTCGACAGAGCGCCACTACGGCTACGTTTACAAATACAACGGTGGCTTTGATATCTGGTGGGAGCCGTTGGGCACGGCTACAAAAACTGTCATCAACCCGATTTTCCAATCGCCATCAACAACTCTCACCACCCAATACGGATGTGGAAGACGCGCCAGCCAAGGAACATTGCAACTTGCAAGGCGGCTTGAAACGGGAAACCACACTAGAACACAGGCCTTCCCCCCCCCCCCCTCACCCGACATAGAAAATGCAGTGGCGACGGTCGTCTCCTTCATCACCGTAGTACTTCTGATACCACAAGTCGAACAAAGATCCCATCTTCTTCTGCGGAGCACCCGATGACACAAACACCACGCAGTTTCTAGGCTCCGTACAGTCTTTCTACACCCGATACACGCGTGCAGTCCCGCCATAAGCGTCCCGACCACGGGTGGTCCCAAGCAGGCATTCTTACATCTGGCCGAGCCAATTCCAAGTCTTTCGCCTAGGCTAGCTGTTTCGGCCAATGGCTTCGACGAGACCGTCCCTGCTGGTCATCCCCCAATAGCTGCCGATAATCTCTCGCGTCCACACCTGTCCCCTCTTGCTCTCCTCGGACCCAAGCTTTGTGAACCGGTAGCGGTACATGTCCGCCTTGATGTACCTGACACCGGAAAGGGGCGGACACAAAGTGGTAGCCTTTTTGAGTGATTGAGGTGAGCAAAACCTTTTGCCCCCACACCAAAGTGTACGCGAAATTCAGCACTCGAAGAAAACGAGGTGAGCAACCGTGGCTGGCGTCGCGGATGAAGAAACACAGCATGGACAGAAAGCAGCACGTAACGAACGCTCCCTCCGTTAATTATGAAAGAGAGTCACACACCCAAACACGCATGTGTTCGTACAGCATCGTGAGCCGTGCATGCTCTCATCGTCAAAGCATCAGCGGCTTCTGACAAGACTCAAAACATGTTTGGTCTACTCTAGTTTTGCCGTCGCCCGTCGCGTCCCCCCCGAAGAGGCTGGAGTTGACGGGAAGGGACATACGTCGCTCGCCTTGTATGTATCGAGTACATCGGGTCTGCGCTCGACGACTTCGACGAGAACATGGGGCCCAAGGCTCGGATATTATTGAGGTAACATTGGGTTGGGGACACGGTCAATCGTGCGCAGCTTGCCGACAGCAAGCGACGAACTAGGTCGATGTGTGCTTGGTGAACGAGCAAATCGTCACCAAGGTGAAACTTTGAAGTATGCAGGTCATCAGGCAACCACAAGCACACAACGACGAACACAACGGGGCAAAACAAAGATTCAGGACAACGTGCGGTGTTTGCAGGGCGTCCTCTCACTTTGGTGGCTCCTTTCCCAAGAACGGGTTGGTCTTCATCAACTTGGAAACCTGTCACGGAGGCACCGTAAACGACGAGCACCGAACGAGCCGAAATCCATCATCGTTGCATGGGTAAGACTTGGGGTTCGAATTGGTGTGGAATGGATGATATGTGGTGGGAGGGTAGGGTCTGGGGTACCGCCAAGGGGTTTTGGAGTGCACGCATTGGAACGGATGAGCCGCACAGCAATGCCGCACGAAGGCGGCCTCTGCAGCACCATCTGCTCTGCGGCCAACGATGGCGCAACGACGCATCGTGCGACGGCCAGATACTCCCAAGCACACTTTCACTGTCCTCCTCAAACAATGAAACCCACAGCATGGAAAACACGACCCGGCACTGCTCTCTATTGTGCCACCCCACGGAGCAGATATTGAACACATTGTGGTGGGTGAACTCTCTACAAGCCCGTGGGTACCCCCCACCGAGCCACACCAGGCAATTGCCAACCACCCATCCCAACGTTGTACCGTCTCCACCAATAGTCCGTGCGTTTCGCCGCCGAACTCCAGCAGACAGGGAATCTTCCCGTTGATGCAACCGTGTCACCTCGGGGTCGTTGTCGACAAGCTTGAGCAAGAGTCGAGGGAACCAAGCGCTGAAGCGTCGGTGGCCCAGCGCCGCTATCCAGAGGCACCAGTCCAGCCGGCGGTGGTACGGTGACACCCACGGGAGGCTCCTACTCAGGGGACCAGGCTTGGATCGGAACTGATCGTGAACGGGGGTCCAGGCGTACACAACAACGAAGTAGGAGATAGGAAAGGGATAACACACCACAAGCCCGGCAGGGTATGGGTCGAACAGCGCGAAGAGATGGCGGGAAAATAGGGTCAGGTTCGAGGACGGCAACCCGGAGGCAACGGAACCACAAGCGTTGCAGCAGCAACCTATCAAGCTAAACCGGAGTTTTCGTAAGCTTCAAAGTAAGTTTTAAAACGAATGTAGCCAGTCAAGGCGGTTGGTGCGCGAAAAGAGCGGAAAATAATGTTTGCTCGTACCTAAACCGTCCCGGACACGCCGTACCCAAAGTACCGAAAGGCTAGTGTTGGACGAGAACAGATAGGGATCCATTGCCATTTGGCACCTCCCCTCTACGTAGCCGGCCGTCGCTGCAAATCCCTCTACATTCCCGAACTAAAACAAACGTTAGTACTGACCTCGTACTCTCGCCATACTGTGTTCTCTCCGTCGTATTCCAACGCCCCCTTGATGATGATCTCCGGTCGAGCCTGCCCAAGTTTCAACAATTCATCCGTGGCCTTTGGCATCTACCCAAAACATTCTACAGCAGAAGAAAAACATCGCGAATGGAAGCCAGGGTTTGTCACTGTGGCGTCCTACCTTGTGCCGGAATCTAGCAGGATGGCAAACGCCGCAAGACGGACGCTAGCGAGCTTCCCGAGTAACACCAGACCATGACCACAAGAGAGAAAGTCGAAAATACGCCGTCGACCTGCCAATGCCCACACCGCCCGTACGCGACAAACACCTGTCACGCCCAGGCTGCATGCAACGCGTCCGAGGGCGGCGTGACCCGCCGTCTCGGACGAGCCGGCATCGGGGAGAACGTCTGGCGATGTACAGCCCTCGCAAAAAAAAGGCACGGAATGCTGTGACCGACCAATGCCGGGTCCGAGATAACACCACGGCACTGCTGCGCACCTTGCTTATGCTGCCGAAAGCACCGTACGTGTTGACAATCCGCAGGGGCTCGAAGGCGCGGTTCATGGACTGCTTTTTCGACGCCATGTTTCGCACCACCGGCGCGGAGAGACACCCAACCAGCCCCACCAGAAACCAGCTGGCGAACGAGCGAATGATTGGCGGCGTCGCGCCGACCGAAGCGGCCTCGGCAACGCTTCGTGCAGCCCCAGGGAACAGCCATGCCAAGGCCCTGCCGGCGCCACAAGAGGCACGACGAGAGGCGTCATTTGTTTGCTTTCCTTCACCCTTCGGTTATCATCACGATTCCGTTTCGGGGAAGGATTTGCCATTCTTACTCCTAGCTGAGGGTGCGCAAAACCAAGGCAATGACAGTTGTTTCGGTTTGCTTGATTGTGGTTGAACGCCTCAGGCGCGGTGCGATATTCAAGTGTCAAAATGTAAACATAGGTGGGAGATGCAGGACCATGCTAAAATTCTTTCGAATGGACTGTTCGACTCGAACGCGCGATCTCTTCATAGTCTCGTGTCGACGACAATAAACAAATCTTCTCAACGTTTGGAGAGAAATCCCCCTCATCATTCCCACCATCTCCACCGCCACAAGCGGAGCAACAACATGTCCAACCAACCTAAAGCACATCTAGATCCAAACCTGCCCCATTTTTCATTTTCGCTCGCCTGTCATCGAAGCACCAGATGAAGGGGAGGATCGTCAAGTAGTTCAGGAACGACAGGTTACCAGAGATGATGATGGCGAGCTGGAAACCGGTCTGAATCCCCCCGCCCAGCAAGCTCAGGGCACGAACCGGTGCAAGCAGCAGCCACGACGCCCCGAGCTCCACGATGTGGTTCATCGCCGTCTCAAACCTGCCGCCACGTAGCCAAACAAAAATAGTTGCTCTAAGGATATGCAAACATGGCACATGTGCACATATGGCGCATCACATGCGTAGACACGCATACGGGAACAGGACACACACCAGCCTTCCCATCCGCCACTGCTGAAATTGTTGACACATGTCCTTGAAAGAGTTCTTGCGGGTAAGCCATCTTCTTGGCACCCAGGTCACCGCAGAAATGATTGCTTGGCAAAAACCACGGGCATTTCGGGCGTGGAGAGAAGGAAGCAACGGAAGCGCTGGACTGACCAGGTACACAAGACGCAGCAGTACTGGCCCGCATGGACACCTGTGAAACTTCTTGGGCGCTTGGTGCAGGAAGTAAGAGATCGGGTTCGGCAGCGGCTGCGTCTCGTAGTGGTAGTCCATCGCCGTGAGGTCCTTCCAAACCTTGTCCCCCCTGATCTTGATCAGACCCGCCCCTGCTCTCCGCACAGCGGTATAGACACAACAAACACGCCCAAATCAACGAGGAGAAAAGGGCGGCGAGGGTACATCGGTACACATACGAAACTGCCTGAAGCAGTCGTGTGTACGCCAAACATCTATTCGGCTGACCTAGAAGCTGGCAAAAACGTGGCCAGGGGCGCACACACAAAGCACCGTCAACACCACCACGTGGAACAAGGGGACCTCAGCGTACTCTATAATAGTGCTTTTTCTCAGGAGGTCGTGCCAGAGGCACCCAATGGCAACACACATGGTTTACAAAAACAACTTCCTGCCCCACCCCCCTTGCTTGCGAGCGGCGTCTGTAGCGAGGCCATTTGTTCGCAAAAGCAGAAGCGGACACGCGTCAGCTCGCTTGCGCCGACCGTCCGAGCACTACGCAAGAAAAAACAGGCACGCACTCTGCACCGTCAAACGAGGACACCACCCATCACACTCGCGGTAAGCAGTCACCGCGGTGGGGCACGGACCTCCGTAGTGCCTCAATTTGTCCACAACCTTCGTAAGAACAAAACAGCTGGCCGCCACCGCTCAACCGGTACTACTGAGGGAGCCCCCCCTCGCTCCGCTGGAACGCACCGAACATTATGCGGAAGGCCAGCCATTTGTACAGCCAAGGGATGACAGCGGGAGGCGGGCAGGCCGCCGGAAAAGGCCGGAGGGATAGGAGGGGCACCGCGAACGCGGTGAGGAACGCCGTCTCCAGGAGCTGGTTTTCCCAGCCAAAGCCGTACCTGGAGCGGGGGGGGGGCAAGTGTGCAACGGCGATGCGGTGCGGTGAAGAAGAATTCAAGTGAAACGGAAAGGCTGAAAAACGCCTACATGTGGCCCAAAAAATGTAATCTGCGCGATCATTTCGGGGTTAAAGGTGCCGACCATGCGCTGAAGAATCAGCAAGGAGTGCGGAGAGAGCTGAAAGGTTGGCAGCAGGTTGGTTATCGACCTGTCCTCCTCTTCCACGTGCAAACAAGAAGCCAAATGCCGGTCTATCCGCATGCAAGGTGCAAAAGGTGAATTCACGTAGGCAAACACGGATAAGAGACCTAGAGAAAAGGACTGCGCGAACCTTATTGATGCGAAACGATTCGCCGCGAATTCTTGTGGAAGAGTTGCTGGTCGCGGCACTGGCCGAGGGGATCAACTCTGTGATTGCGCGCGGTAAATTCAGCTCTGCATAGCCGGTCGATCGGAGAGCTGCATGGCAGAAAACAGTGTCGTGGTCCGGTGAAAACGCAACAATTGTTAGCCCTTCCCGTGGCAGACCAAAGACACGCCTGCTCAACATACATCACACCAAAAAAGGCGTACTACAGAGCTGCGAACACACTTGCCAGTGCTGTCCCACGTTGGCCAGCGTGTGGTACAGCACCCAAAGCGCGAGGATGATCGGCAGGTTGGCAGCACCCAGTAGCGTGACAAGGATCGACAGGGACAGCCCGATAGCCGCCGTTCGCTTGAGCCACGGGTCGAGAGCAGCCTGTGAGCCAAACGCAGGAAAATGCAAACATCCCGAAAACACATGCACGCATGTCGGTCGGGCCCGCTGACTAGAACCACTGCTGTACGCGTATGTTTTGTCCCGCTGTACTGAGTGAAGTATTTCATTGGTCAGCTAGTTGGCGAGATCGATGAAAATTCAAGAAACACGTGCAGACAGGCTTTTTGCGCATGCATCAATGCTCTTGGCAACAGCAGCTTTAAGCTGCTTGTTAATCTATTGCGGTAAACTGCCGTTTCGTGTTGAACCGTATGATGCGTTTACACGTATTTCCAGTCCGACCACTCAAACGCTTTTAGAAAGGGGAAATTCTCTCCTAACCAAGAGAGTAGACTACACTTCCGACGCCACGTACGGGGGCAGGGGCGGAGGGAGGGCACGGTTCACGACAGACAGTACTCGCACAAGTGGTCTAGGTGTGTTTTTACGGTGAAGGAACAGCTTGTCGGTGGTCTACTGACTAGGAAATGTGAAAGTATCGTGCCACACACTAGCCGAAGGAATATCGCAATCGCGGCCCATGCCGCTTCTAGGAGAGTGACCTGACCCATGCTCTGCTAGACACAAGTGGACAATTCCAGGACAACTGACTACATACCTAACTTGGAATCGTCGTTGTGTCGGCGCCACTCACTTCATTCGTACGACAAAGGCAACATTGTACAAAACTTTCCGAAACTACTGCTGTGCCAGCGATTATGGTGTCAAACAGGGTCACTTCGTTCTCTTCCAAGCAGAAACTCGCCGGGTGTTTCCCAGCCTACTTTATTGCGTAGAAAAGCCGTCGCATGCTAAGATGTCGTCGTCAAGGGGTACGAAGTACGAAGCGTGCAATGTCAAGCGCGAGTGTCTGGTGGACGTTTGTTCGGGCTAACCTCGGGCGGAAGCAACCAGAACAGCGTCGGCAATCTCTTCGCGGCCGCGCGTAGGTCGCCCCTAAAACCGTTCCTTAGGACCCGCTGCAAGTAGGCCTTCGCGGGCGTCACTCCCTGTGCAGGCGGTTTCATGGACGTTTCGAAGACGACAGACACCCCCACACGGATTGCGGGAAGCGTAGCATGGACGCTCGGGCATCAACAGAGGCACGCGGCGACATAACGACGGTCAGAGGATAAAAGGATAGCACACAGCGTGACAGCAAGCTTTGGAGGACCCCTCGTCATGATTGACAAGTTGGCACCAAGGCACTCGGAGACAGGTTCTGGGGCTTTGCTGCCGTCGCAGGCCGCATACAGAAACCAACACTGACCGGCCTGACAACGCCCGAACGAAGCCGGCCCGGCACCGTAGGGTAGCCGGCAAGACACGAAAGGTATGCGTTGTACAGCAGTATTCCGACAGAGAGCTGAAAAATAACGGGTCTGAGACGGAAAAGCAGTGCGCTGAAGCGAACGGTGGCTCTCACATCGTCGCCTATCAGCGCCGGGTTCTGCCGCAAAGCGACCGAAAACGCCACCGAAAAAACGCCTCCGAGGCACCTCAAGAAGAGCGAGCGGCTTAGCCAGTACGACGAGGGTTCTGCCGACGCCAGTACCGGTAGGGCTGAGAGCTGCGGCATTGACCGAGGGATGAGCACGCCTGGTGGAACAAAGTGCGCCGAACAGAATGTGACTGATGCGGTAAGCCGCCGGGTCGCCGGTTGGTGTTGAATTCTTAGAGCTACAACTGCGGGGTGTTTTTTTTTTAATTCTTGGTACTGAGTTTTGAGAACAAATTGTGGGGAGATACAGCTGCTGTGTTGGACTGATATCTTGGTAGAGAGCTCCGAGCCGTGCAACACATTAGAGCATTTTTCCTTGCGCAACAGTAAATTTGGCTTACGCTCTCGGGTGTGATTGCTGGGTGCTTTCCGGTCGTTTTCGGAAACAACATACAAGCCGGTTCACGCAAGAAAAACAACATTTGTACCCGCAAATCCTTCGTTCGGTTATTTGGAGATAGGTCACCAAATTTTGCACCCTTGTCCGCAGGGTCGATACCAAACTTTTCACGGGTGGGGTTTGTGAAAAAAAAATTATTCGCCGAACAATCGGGGTCCCGCACGTTCCTTGGACAGAAAGGCTGAGCTGGACCCTGAATATTCGGCGAATTAAAAAAATCGAGAAAACCCACTCGTGAAAAGTTCGGTATCGACCTCGCGGACAAGGGTGCAAAAATTGGTGAGCTACCTCCAAAACCCCCAACGAAGGATTTGATTTTTGCAACAAGAACCTGAAATTTCCTCTGCGAACCTCTAATTTACTCCGATTTAGACGAAAATGAGCTTATTGGGCACAACTTTACGCTTGAATCGACCGCTCCACCTCAGTTTTTCCCCTTAGGCAACGAAATTTTTTGTACAATCCTTCAACACCCCACACCGGAGCCGACCGAATTCGATTTATTTTTACTTTTGAGACAGATATACCGGCTTCTGGGGGTCCTATCCGTTAGACCCCGATAAGCCGGTAGGAGCGGGAACACTTCGCGAATAGTGTTCAAGAATATTCTTTCGGATTCGAAGCCATCAATACCTGTCAAGCTGCCAAATTCGGGTACGATCCAAGCTTTCCTCAGATACATTCGACGGAAACCGTTTCGATGCTTTCTGGTTGGTTGCTCCGTACACACGGTGGCCATCTGACGACGCCAAAGGGCCACGACACCGGAATCCCACCCTTTTGGGCGTAGCTCGCTCCAGCGGTGGCCGTTCTCACTTCTGTTTTGTTTGCTGGATTCCCTAGAGCTCGAAGGTCTTTTGAGGTTGAACTCAGGCCGAAGAAGGTTCGTGTTACATTGGTATTTTGAGTTGTTGATTCTCGAACAGCGTGAAGGCCGCTGGTTGGCGAATCATATGCATACTGGTGCGCCTAACCACCGTAGAAAAGGTGTTCTCGGAAATTCCAGCTGTGTCACCGTCTTAGGCTAAGCATGGGGGTCACTATGGTATAAAATAGTATGCATTGATCGGTGAGTAATTGCGTTCATTATCAGTGGGGGAACAAAATTGGGGTTTCTTTCGTGAACCAGCTTGTAAAGTCATCAGCCATCAACCCAGATCTTGAATCCATTCACGATGGGTTCAGAAGTTCAGCACACACTGACACACCCTGCGATTAACATGACACCTTGACGACCGACCAAATGTGCAAACTTTCCCAAAACCGCACCTGCCATTGCCGTAGCCACTCCAACAGCGCAAGCACGGCCCAGCGGCTGCTGCTGCATCGTTTCAATACCTCTTTGCCCCGCAGCTGCCCTTACACCACTCGCCCAGGTCGGAAGCCGGTGCGTCTTGCCTCCAAATTTGAATTCCTTGTACAGAGCTCTAGGCTCGCTCCTGCTGTGTCCTAAACAAAAAGACTCAAACGGTGGTACGGGCTGGAATGAGCTTGCGAAACGAACGCCACAGATGGATGGGCGTGACGCTGCCACCGCGATAACGAACGCTACAGATAATACCATTCCGCACAGGGCGAAAGTGGCCAAGGGCAGTGTTGGTCGCGGGGCCAGCGACTGGTACGCGTAGGTAGGGCATCCCCAAGTTGACGTTTCACACGCGGAGCTCCCTCTGACAGTTTGCCCTGACCGCTGTTTGACATCGCCACACATGCACTGGCACGCGTAGCCCGCAGGGCATCTGATGGGTGCAGAGCAATAGCAAGAGGACAAACGATGGGGGCAGCGCTAGGTGGCTCATGCGGAGGGAGCACCAAGGAGGTGTGTGATCAGCCAAGCAGTTATAAATTCCGGTGCGGATGAATCCGTATCTCCGGTGGCTCAAGCGTACGTACCAGTCGCAAAGGCTCTCCCATGTGGACGCCACACAACAGCAGCGGTAGCATGTGTAATGCGTTTCAAGTGTAAGGGTCAAAATACGATCAGCTGCAAGGAGCCCAAGTCGCGTAGACTTTCATGACAACCATCCCGCCGTTCATGTGCGCGACAAATATTCCACTCCGCCGCAGCAGGTTGCTGGGAGCCAGTGTGACGGGCCTCCTCCAGGCGAACAACCGCCCGAATTGGACGCGTGGATCGACAACAGCACCTGGCCAGGCTTACGCTCCATCGTGACCAAGTCATACCAAATCTCAAGCCGCGAGCGCTGGTCCAAGTTCCTTGGTGCGGGTCTGCTGGACGCGGCTTCGGACGGCAACCTCGCGGGCGTCAGGCAACTCATGGCCGCCGGGGCCCCCCTCCAGGCGCGTGACCTGGAAGGGCACACTCCGCTCCACCGCGCGGCGGTGGCGGGACACGCAGGCGTGGCTGAGCAGCTCCTCAGCAGCGGCGACGGCAGGGCGCCACCCTTGGGTGGGGCAAGCCCATCGTCCAGCAGGGTGGTGCCGGAGCCGCCTAGCCTTAAGTGGCAGGCCAGCATGGAAGGGCCCGTGCTGGTGCCCTCTGTGTCTCTTGTAAAACGGGCAACGCTGGACGCTCGCGATCACTCGGGCTCGTGCCCGATACACCTGGCCACGGCGTGCGGACACGCAGACGTCGTCCAGGTCCTGCTCCAGCATGGTGCCGACGTCTCGGGCTTTAACGGCGTGGCGCAAAGCCCTCTCCACACAGCGGCGGCCGGACTGGACTCCGGAGACTGCGTGCGCCTCCTGCTGGACGCGGGAGGGGACTTAAAGGCGAGAGACAGTGCCGGCAGAACGCCTCTGCACGTCGCTGCCTCCGCGGGGAACACGATGGTTGTATCGATCTTGGTGGACAGCGGCGCGGAAGTCGAGGCCAGGGGGAACATCAGCAACCGCACGCCTCTGCACGAGGCTTGCGCGTGCCTGCACGCAGAAAGCGTTCAGCGGTTGCTGCAGCACGGAGCGGATGAGCGCGCGGTAGACATCGATGACCTCACACCGGAGAACATGGTTTACGAGGGAATGACCGAAGAGCGGAAGGCGGCAGATCCTACAATCGCTCCAGTTGGAGAAGCCATATGCCGCATGTTGGCCGATGCACCCCAAGACAGACTGTGGCGGCGTCGGCGACTGCTGCCGTTGCTGCGGTGGCGCCAGCCACCGCCCGCTTTCGACTCGGAACCGGGTACTGCCGTTACCGTTGATGCCGGCTCGAGCCAGTCCATCTTCGAGCTTGTGGTGTGCGAGGAAGAGGGCATCATGCGCAACATCGTGTCCTATTTATGACCCCGCGGCCTGGGAGGTGAGCGAGCGGTGGGTTTCGTCCCGAAAGGCTTGGGAGTGTCGAAACGCACGATGACCACTAGTTGTTGTTGTTGTTGTTGTTGACTTCACATTAAACCGTATGCCAGTTGCTAAATGCCAAAATCTAGCAAAGACTCTCGGCCCGTGGTCACGAAAGTGCTGGAGCCATCTGAGGATCTAAAGAACACGCACACGTAGCAAGAAAAAGGTGTACAAGAGCCCGAAGAGGTACTACTAC